GATAAAAATTACCCCAAAGTCTTGAAGAGAGCATGGAGTTTGAGTCTGCCTGCTAACCCTAGCCCAACCTGTATAGATTTACACACCGAGGGGAGAAGGATTCTCTGAAGGAAAGGCAGCAGGGAGCTGGGATTATAGATTAGGCAGCAGATCAAGAAGGAGGCGATATCTGTGATGAAAAGGGCTGTAGAACCCAAGTGATGACTAGAAAGTTATGGATAACCTCTGGCTCAGCACCCCACCCAGCTGTCCTCCAGGATTTCCAAGACAGCCAGCAGCAAAGCAAGTACAGGGAGCTTGGCACTTTGGTTGCTGCTCTTCTGACCAACCCCTGCGTTTGCCACTGGGCACAGCACAGCCTTGCTCCATGCCTCAGTCTCCCTGTGTGGGAAATACAAGAGACTTTTCTACTCTAGGTAAGGGCTTACCTAATTAAAAGAAGCTTAATAGATTGCTTCAAGGTCCTTGGAGAGAAATTCTGTCAAAACGCAAGACAGAGATGATCCTCAGAAAGAAGAGAAGCCCCCTCTGCTTTTCTCTCTTCCGGTCAGCCACATCCACCTCTCCTCTTGCTTGCAATTTGAGCATTACAGGCTGAAAAAGAATTCTGTCAATGCTCAGTCGTGGCTGTGGTCATAACCCACAGCCATGGCTGATGTTTTGGAAAAAACCTATTTAGATATAGACCCAGGTACTCCCCTTGGTGGGGAAACAAGGAACCTTAGCTGAGGTCATCAAGCTGCCTGTTCAGCTAGGGGGGTTATCTTGGTACAAAAGGCCAAGGCCTCAACAGCAAGCAGCTCACATAAGTCCTGCTGTCCTAAAACAGGTAATAATCACTTCCAAAACCACGACTCCACAACAAGCCCTTGCTATTTTTAAGGCAGCCAGCCTGATGAAACATCAAAATGCAGTGCTGCACTCCCTGTCACCTATCAGCTCTACTGAGCAAGTTTCTGAGCACATAAATACACCCACCCTGCTACAGGTGTTCAGAGGTCTGAAGAGCAGGAGGTACCTGTTGTACTTCAGGAACAGCTTTGGGATGTAAAGGGTCTGCATGCCAAGGAACACAAAGAAGTTCAAAAAAAGGTAAACAAATCGTGTTTCTGCCTTCCTCAGATATGCAGCCAGAGTTTATTCCACAGGGATGCAGGCATAGAGTGCTTTTGTAAATCCTACTCCACTACTCCAGCACACAGCATTTCTCTCCAGCATTTCCCCCTGGAGAAGGGGAAACTCACCAGCTTTGTGACAGCACCTCTGCTCTGGTCCCTGGCACAAGCAGCTGGTCCTGGCACCCCACCCAGCACTGCTGCTGTGGCACAGCCCAGTCCCTGCCAGAAACTCACCTAATGCTATCACAGCACCCAAAACCCGACCCAAACCTGCCCACAGTGCCAGGCTTGGCCCCTCCACGCAGCTCTGTCATGCCTCCTCAAGGCCAGCCTGAATCACTGACTCGACAGCACGGTTCACATGTGCACTGCAGATATGTCACCACCTTTCCAAGAACATCCACAGTTGGGAACAGCAGGCATTCCTAAGACTGCCCACATCCCCCTAGATTGCACTGCCCCACGTGCCTACCCTCCCCAGATTTCAGATCCCACTGTAATGTTTCATTGTAGTGTCCTGATGGCATTTTGTAATAGTGAAGTGCAGCCTGACCTTTTGTGCAGAACTGATGGGTGACAGCAGCAGAAAACACGTGGGCACAACTACCCACACTTTTCTGCTTCTGTAGCCAGGGCTGGTAACATGAACCAGCCCTTTGAGGCACCTCCACTTGACCTAAAGTCATGAAGACATCTCTTGTGCCAGTCAGTTCGCCCTCCTCTCTGCCAGAGTTACTGACAGCTGTACCAGTCTTCGTTAGCACCACCTCCTCCAGCTACATCCCACTGATTGGGTCACAGACTCCAACAATGTACAAAGGGCTCATTTTAGAGCAACTAACCCCACCTAAAGCCTAATCGGCCGTTAGGAATGAATGCTGGCCCAGCTTGCCCCTTCTGTCCATCAGCAAACTCCCCCACCTCCTTCCTCCGCCTTTATGATCCAGCACAGAGGCTGGGGGCTGTAGGAGTGTCAATTTGTGATAGCAGGTGCACCCTAAAGATGCTGTTCTCAAGAGAGGAGGAAGCTCAGACACAACAAGCTGAAATCTCAGCTATAAACCCTTCCACGAGACAGAGTTTATCTCTGCTTGCTGACAGGTCAAAGCAAGGGAGGGACAGAGAGGAATTTGTCTAGCCTAAGGTGCCCTTCACCTACTGAACATAGACAACATCTATGTGCACTGCCCTGAACAACTGCCATACCCATGACTGCTTACATGCTCTACCTTTATTGCAGCCATAAAAATCAGCAAAAGTCCCATGCTAAGTGCATCCAGCAGGACCCATGTGCATTGCTACACACACCCAGCAAACAGCCACCCACATTTGCCACACAAGCCTCCCTCAAAGGCATGCAGTAAGCATGTTACATCAATCTGGCAGGCCCCAGTGTCACACTCCACTTAGCCAGATATGCGTGGGAAAAGGAGGAGAAAGGTAAACACAAGGCACACAGGAAGCCCACAAGTACACAAACCTCACAGGTACGCTCCTCAGGCAAACACACTGAGTGTCTGCGCCTGCCATGTGCCTGGCCAAGGTTCAACAGGCTCTGTGCTCACCATGAGCCCCAGCAAGCCTCCAGACCAGTTACCCCTGTGTCATGTTGGGCACAAGTGCTCAAGGTAAGCTCACAGCTGTGAGCATCTACTGAAGCTAACATTCCTGCAAGTACACTATTTCCCACCTGCTCTTCTTGACCTCCTTGCTAAGACAATCCCTGCATGCCACGCAGGCCACTTTTTTTCCAATCTTAGCAGCATTTTCAGGGAGGGAGGAAAGCAGGCAGGCAACTCAGCCACCAAAACCACTTTGGAAACAAGAGTGTGGAGAGCACTTCCAATGGAGGTGAGCCACAGCAGCACCTAGGACCAAAAGTATACTAGACAAAAAGCAGCAGTTGGGCCACCAAATTAGGAACTAGGCAAAAAACCACACCTGCAGCTAGCCTGAATCCATCCCCTCTCCTAAGCACATAATTGGCATATCCAGGGCATTAATAAACAATGCAGGTATAACTGAGTCCTCAAGAGAGGCTATACCTTGCAGTGGATTTCTTACCCCTACTGCAAAATCACCTGAGAGTGTAGAGGAGCTGTAAATCTTTGAGGGACTTTTACTACATGCAGTAGAGGAGCCACAGCTTCACTGCTCTTCTGCAGTTTGCAATGGCTTTCATTCACTGCTTGTTTTATAGTGCTACAGGCAGGCTGGAGACTCCCTCCCCAGGAATAGCTCAAAGGACCGCTCTTCTCCCGCTCTAGCTTGGAGGACACGTTCCCAGCACTTGTACTGGGGCTGAAACAAGCACAGGTGCTAGAGCTGTGCTTAGAGGGGCTTTAGAAACTGGAGGTTTGCTGGAGCATAGGGACACGAATAGTCCTTCCTCCCCTCAGAGATGTCTCTCAATTGCCTGAGGGTCAAGCAATGAATGGTAGATCCTTCTTGATTTCTGTCCTTCTCTGAGAAGTTGGCAGCAGCCAGGCTGCAGCAACAGGAACTTGCAAGTGCTTCCTAAATCAGTTGCCAGCTGGACCTAAACATCACTGCTGCAGGAGGGACCCACAGAGCACAAGAGACACCCTTTGGGGAAGGAACTTGAAAAGTTCCTGCTGACTCACACCCTGCCAAGGTGAGGGACACAGGGGCAAGAGTATGCAGGAATTTGAAATTCAGTTTGCACAGGCTTGGGGGTTCCTGGTGACTCTAGTCATATTTGTTAGCAGGGGTGCCACCGAGTGTTTTCACAGGCTTGAACTACCCACTCAAGAAGAGAGATGTGGAATTAACTGGAGGAGAGGTGCTCAGCACCCACACTATGCTCTGGAGACCGGGCAGGCATGCTCCTGACCCGATGTTCTGTCCTAGGGTGCAGAGGAAAAATCCAAGACCCCAGCATCATTTCTGGGAAATAGGCGGGGTTCCCATGCGACCCAGGCGCGGCTGGAGGAAACACAGCGTGTGGAAATCCCCGAAGGAAAACCACAAGCTGAGGCACTGAGAGAAGCCTCTCTCCATCCCGCGCCACGCTCCCTCCCTCACTGAGCTGCCTGAGGAACTCCAGAGCTGCAGCAGATGCCGTGCTCCCCACCAACCTTGTCACGCTCGCCCAGGGAGCAAAACTCTGCAAGGACTGAGGTACACCAGCCTGTGTCACTCCGGTAGGACACACAGCTATTCCAGCCCACAAACAACCCGAGAGCCCCGCATGAGCGGGGAGAACTTGGGTGCCCGCGTCCCTCTGCGGCCAGCCCCGACCAGGGGACCTGCAGCCATCTGACATGGAGACAGAGCAGGGCACAGGGGACGTTTGACGATACACATTTATTTGTATGGATGTTTTCCCTCCCACGCACGCACTCCTGTTACTCCTTCTCGCTTGCTGCAGGCTTGGCACGCATCCCCAGCCCGTGCCCTCCTCGCAAGCCGAGCCCGGGCAGCAGATGGGCCTTCGCTGCAGTGCCCCGGCCGGAGGGAGGCTGCCTCCATCCCCGGCGAGCCCTCCGCTGCGGGCAGGGGGCTGGCAGCATCACCGCCCTCCTCCCCACAGCCGATGCTCCCTAGCAGGGGATGCCGGGATTATGGGGGGGTGGGGAGGAGGGGGGGGGGGGGGAGAGAGAGAATAAAAAAATAGCACTAATATAAATAAATAAGGAGCGCGAAGGTGGGGGCTCGGTGGGGGAAACCTCTCCGGCAGCGCTCGCAGGGGATGACGCCGCACCCCCGGGCCGAGGCACAACTTGCAGGTGGCGACAGCGGCGGGGGGGACGGACCGATGGGGGTCCCGCCGCCGCCGCTGCCCGCAGCCCCGGGGCGGCTCCCCCGGGGCACGCTCTGCCCGCCGCCCCAGCCCCGCGGCAGAGCCGCTCGCTCACTCACCCCCGGCCGGCGCAGAGTCGGTGCCCGCCGGGCCCCCGGCGGGGCGAGGCTGCCGCTCGCCCCCAGCCCGCCCGCCGCCCCCCGGCATGGCTCGGCGCCGGCCGCGGCGAGAGGCGAGCCCGGAGCCCGCAGCCCCCCGCCGCCTTCCTCCGCCTTCTTCTTTCTCCGCCGCGGAGCGGCCCGGCAGCTCCTCCCGGCCGCGGGAAAGGATGCGCTGCGCTGCGGAGCCGCGGCGAGCCGAGCCCCGCCGGCGGCAGCGGGCAGGGCTGCAGCAGCCCCTTTTGTGCCGCCCTCACCGCCTGTCTCCTCCCCCGGCGCGCCCGCCCGCCCCCCCGGGCCGCCGCCGCGGGCCGCCCGCCCCCCGGGGCACGGCCCGGCCGCCCCCCGCCCCCCGCACAAAGGAGCCCCGCGGATGGGGCCGGGGGTGGCTATCGAGCGGGCTGCGGTAGCGAGCGCCGGGCCAGGCGGTGCCCCCCGAGGATGCCGCGGGCCGAGGCAGAGCCGCCGTGCCTCCCGCAGCCCCGCGGCAGAGCCGCCCCCTCCGCATCGCTCCCGCGGCCCGGGGGGCCGGCGAGGGCGGGAGCTCCCGATGCTTGGCGGGAGGGAGGCGAGGTGGGGATGCGTGAGCTGCCTTGCCCGGCGACATCAGGAAGTTTTGCTGCGGTGCCAGAAATAGAACCTGCGTCTGCTGACTCCCGGTCGTGCACCCTAACCGCAGAAGCTATCTTTTCTCAATTCAACTTTTCCCTGCCTTCTTCCACGTTGGGCCCATCTTTGGAAAAGAAAACAAAGCCAAGCCAAACCATAATACCAAATACCACCACCCCCTCCCCCCTGACGGAGCGGCACCGCTACAAACATGCTGAAACACAACCATGGGACCTCACTCCTTGCAGCCAGGAGCAAGCAAAAGGTCAAAGGAAGCAGAATTAGAGTACACCCTTCCTCGACATTTCGTGGGAATTTGGAAAAGCAGCACATTACAAACAAGCCTCGGTGCCAACACCTCTCCAACTTGCCATTTATCGTATGGGCACACGGGCAGCTCGCTGGGGAGAAGGTGAGAAGTGGCTCTGTCAAATTGCCACCAGCTCTTCTGAGCACTTGTGGCACAAGAGTCCGCCCCTACGCTCTGACTGCTGCCTGGCCAGCACCAGAGAGGGTTTCCATGGGAAGGGGTCACCCTAATTTTGAGTTTTAAGGCTAAGATAGAGAACGTGTCAGAGCTCAGGCAAAGAGACAGCATAACTGAAGGGGAATTTTCCCTGATGCAAACTCAGCTAGAAAGATGAGTAAAGACAGCCAGAGGTCAGCTGGATTCAGAAGTGCCTCTAGAGTATTGTAGAAGTATTGAGGGAAAGGAATGAGGACATAGGAGGAAGACAACGATACAGCAAGGGAAGTTCTCACGACATGAGAGGGGTCATTTTGTGGCAGACACAACACCACACCAGCACAAGTCCTTGAGGACACGGAAAGCAACATCATATTGGTGGGAACACATTGGGAAGACAACAGCATCCCCATCTCTGTGGGTCCAGGATGAAGTTGCTCTCTGATAGGACTATGTTCTTCAAGACAGTCATGGGTCCCTAGCAGAGAACTGGGCTTGGAGGGAGTCCCCAGCTTCTACATCCCTATGAAGAATTTGACAGCCATGATTCCACTTGCATTGAGTCCATGACTGCTTTTTCTTTGGTTTGTTTGGTTTTTTTGGGTTTGTTTTTTTTTTTTTTTTTTGAGATGGCTGGCAAGTGACAGCATTAGCCTTGCATGTGTGGGTGATTTCAGCTCTGGGAGTATAAATCCTATTAGGGATGGGCAGCCATCACCAATTCATTTCCCCCAGCCAGTGAACACCCATCAAGAAGGGATGGTTGGCACTAAAGGGAAGAAAACATCACTATTTCAGACCTCCTTTCCTCATAAAACATTATCCTTTTGCTGCAAATATTACCCCTGGGGTGATGTGAAGACAGCTAACACTTTTCCATGTTAATGTGATAAAACTGAAGGCTTACGGGCTCACCCAGAGATTGCAAATGTTCAAGAACTTCAGACCACAAACCTAGAGTAGAATAACATCCTGTGCACAGAGAGGCACCTGCAATACCACAGCTCCTCGGTCTTGTGACTGTGTTTGCCACGCTCAGTACTCCTAACGAGAGACAGGCTCCTGCAGCCTCCCTGAGGTGTCTGCCCCTCTGCTACACCATGCAACAATGTGAAGAGAATGTGGGATTTTAGCTTCGCCTCTAAATCTTTGTGTGAGGAAAGACAAGATTTTGCTCTTTTTTCCTGAGCTCAGAGAGGGATTGAGCATCAGAGCAGAATGATGCAGAGGGCTGTTGTTTCAGCATGTGCTAGTACATTGCCAGATGCAGCAGCACGCTGGTATCTCCTCCACACCATCTCCTCCACACCAGTGCAACTGCATCAGTACCTCCTCTAAAGGGGGACCTGGTTTCCAAAGCCATGTGGTTCTGGGTTTGCGGGTCCAGACACAGAAGTTGGGGGTTTTATATGTTTTTACTAATGGTATTATCTGCTTTGATGGCACCAGGGTGAAGCTGTAGTCTTAGATGTAGTATCCAAGCACCTCATGATTTCTAATTTACTCAGTTGTCATCCCTTCTCCTAAAGGTAAAACCCCAAACCTTTGGCACTGTTTTACATAAAAGAAACAGAGGATTAGAAAAGTTATGTGATTTGCTGGAGGCCAGACAGAGAGGTTGTGGTAGGGTAGAAAACTGACTGTGCTAATCTTGAATTAGCACTGTAACCGTTGCTGTCTGTGGAGTGTTTTCTCCCTGTTTTGCGTACTTTGGTTTGAGACATGCTGGACAAGCTCCCTTGGGATGAGGAGTCATTTTTAGCCCGATTCCTTACAGAAATGAAGCTCTCACAATCATGTTGTCTATCTGCCTGTCTATCAGCCGCCCACCATACGGTTTGAATCCACTGGCCAATTTCAACCCAACCCAGCACCAGCAGCAAGGAAGGGATTTTATAGCAAAACAATTCAGATGAGCTCCATGATGAGCCAAAAGAGGGGAGGGAGGAAGGGAATGCTCGTGTGTGCCTATGGGCTGCATGGCATCCAAACACCCCCTCTGGCGTGGCTTGTGATGCTTCCAAGAGAGAGGGGCAAGAGAGAGGAATTGAGCTCAGGTCGATGTGTGAGGCTGGTAAGGCCAGGAAGTAGCTGAGCACACTGCAGAGATGTCCTGGGCATGCAGCAACCCCAGGCACGAATGTAGCAGAGATGATCATCCTGCCGCTGGCAGAGCAACTTCTGCTCTCCACGCTCCCTAAGCCCCGGCGGCTGCTCCTCCGGGAAAAACAGCCGATTAACATATTGCAATGAGTTAACCTTAAAAGGTCTAAAAATCCAAACGGCTGCATGCAAATGAATTCTGATGGAAGCAGCAAGATAAAACAGCAGCCAGCCACAGCTGAGCCTGTTTACTAACTGAGACACTTTGTGTGTGCAGCTGAAGCCAAGGTGGTGCTCTCACTCCTGTGACGATTTGCGCCTCCCCACTCCATGCTTCTGCCTTGCGAGGTACAAGGTTTTGAAGCAAAATATTGTTCTATATGGGTTTCTCTCTTATATTTTGGTGGCTGTGATCTGTGACATGCCCTATTTTCTTCCTCTTGGGCAGTGCCAAAAGTGGCTGGTGTGGGCAAGACCTCCAGGCAGGGTGTCAGGCATATGCTGAGTGTTACAAACCCCGCGGAGCTGGTAGCTCCAACCTGCCAGCCAGAGGCAGGGGATGGAAAGGCCCTTCTCCATCACTTCTGGGTGAACCTGGTTTGCACCCAAGGGCATGTGCTCAGTTGCTATTAGGCAACTTCTCTTCACCTTGTGGTTAACGCCGGTAAGTGATTCTCGGTCTCTCTGTGTTCAAGTCACTGACATTTTGTTAACTCCTTCACACTGAGTTACAGAGCAGAGTTAATGGTGGCAGAGCCAAACTTTCACTGTCGCCCTTTCTCCAGAAGAGCACCAAAAGGTCACGTCTTTCCCCCCCTCCCCTTTGGAATTAGAGTCCTTTTAATGCCCTTTGGAGCTAGACTCTGCAAACAAAGTTCTCCTTTGAGCCAACCAGTCTTGAAATCCGATGCCCTTGTTCACTTTGCGCTGCTGGTGGCAGGGAGGGAAACAACAAAGTGACATTTCTATCAGCCACGATGCAAACGGCCTGAGACAATGATATTTATCTCCTCCTTGAGTGCTCTGAGGCCTTGTATCCGAAGAAAATTACAGTCACTGGCAACCACCATTTCCTGCAATCAGGCTGTAGTTGAGCAAGAGGGAAGTTGAACAAGTGCTGGTACAAATACTCAGGGACAAACCCTAATAGGAGAATCCGCCCAGAAAAGATGCCTTGTGTGCAACAGAAACAAACAAATGCCCTTAAACTTGCACTGCTGTTAGGTAACATAAAACTTTGCCAGATAAGGACTGTTTGCTCTCATTTAGGGGTTTCTGGCAGCCCTGCTCCTTGGATTATTTGCTGAAATGCAAATAGCATTTGGCTATTTTTCAGTTTGCAATCTTAAAGGCAAAGAGATTGCATTTCATCCTCATCTCCTACTACAGAGCAATTCTGTGCAGCATGAAAAATCCAGTCTTTCTGCAGCTGGGAGGGCAAAGGAGGGCAGTGGCATGGAGACAAAGAGTGTTTGCTGCCACTGGCATCCTGACAGGCCCAGTTCACACTATGTGTACCTGCTAATGCCTCTCCAGCCTGCAAACTCCTTAGCATGGAGCTATGTTTTGTGGTTGAGTTTCAGAGCACTTGATGTATGAGAGCTCCCGCCACTGCCTCTAAGAACCACGGAAGGGTGAGTAATACCAGGTCAGTGGTGGCTTGTGGGAAAGGTGAAGCAAAACCTCGGTTTGCAGCCACTGAATGTATTTCAGCATAAGTTTGATAAAAAGCTCCACCGTAAAAACCAGAAGAAGTGGCTTCAGAGGCATCTCTGCAGCAAGGCAGAGGAGGTTTTTAACAGCAATCGAGTATAAGCAGCTCAGGGCACTGAGAATCCTGATGTCACTGCATGCTCCTGTTC